CTACCCTGTTCTTCGTCCCCTCCCTTTGTTTGAAACTGTAATGTGTGATTCTAGACAAATTTTGTCTTAAAATTTATTGCTTTATATTATCCATCATCTATGTTAATGAATTTTGCTATTTTGTACTTAGGCACCTCTTTTTGCCTTGCTTGGGTAGGAAATGAACATTTCATGATAAATTGCTGCCAAGAAGAAATTTATAGCAAATAATAAACAAATGAGTATGCAATTGTAAGGGTTTGGGGAATCCAGAGAAATAGGAAAGACTGGAGCTTGTGCTTGGTTGAAAGACATCTGCCCAGTTGTTCCAACAGTAAGAACTATGCAGTGAGAATAGGCTGGATCATTTAGGGGATATGACCAAGGGGGGTAGAGATTGGCCACTCAGATGTCCCTCGGCTTTGCCACTCAAGGACGCGTGAGCTCCTTGCCATAGCACCCAGTCTTAGCAGCAGGTGTCCATAGTGAGAACACTGAGTCTAGGGTGCAATGTGCCACTCAGGAATGTGCATTGCCTTGCTACATTACATGTCAAAAGTGAACCACCAGGCTGCCCACATATCAAAGAGAGTTGCTCACCCTAACCCTGTCCCAAATTACACAAGAGCCAACAGAAATTTGTGCACACTCTGAAAAGGCTCCACCTGTGTTGAGGCCCACAGAGAGGAGCACAGACCTATTCCAAAAGACAAGACCACATTACCCCATCTCCAGGATTTCTTTTCCAGTCTAGAGGAAATTTTCTTTCCTGTGCCTCAGTAGGCTTTCCTGCTGGGGAGGTGACCTTCACACTGAGACTTCTTTATCCGGGTTTAAAAGTATATCTCCTCAGCATATGCTGGGGAGAGATTTGGAAGTAAATTTTCTCTTTTGCATTGCCAAGATTTCTTAGAGGGAAGATGGAGAAGGATAGTTTATTGATACATCAATTTATTAAGCTAATATACTTTCTTTGCTTCAGCACTGCAGATTGAACCTAGGTTCTTGCACACAGTAAGCACTCATAAGACCACTAAACGAGCCCCTTTAGCTTTTACATGAGAAATTCCCCATTCATCTTATTAAACTTGCTTTTTATAACTGGAAAAAGACTTGTGATTATGCCTAAAGAGCCTAACCCAGACCTGACAAAGAGAAAGTACTCCTCAAGAGATATTATTTACTGGTTTTGTTTTGTTTTGTTTTTGGAATCTTTCAACGATTTCTCTGCTTCTAAGAGAATTAATTGCTAACAGTTTGGTGTAAATTTTATATTTTGTGAAATCAAGTTTTCTCTGGGATTTGTGGCTCAGTGAGACCCTTGTTTTGCTCCACAAGGACAAGATTGTCGTCAGGATATATTAGAAGCTTGCGCATCTCAGACTATTATATCCAAATGGAGGCACGATGAGGCGTTTCCATACACCACGCCACTCTCTCCTGACATCATGTCAATACAAATCTAGCTTCATTCTTTCCTTAACTCAGTTAGGCCCTGGGTTGACATTAGGATAATTGACCTGGAAATTATAGATAATAGCAGGGAGAAGAGATTTTAACAGGATGGACGACATTATTCAGTCTTTTTTCTATCATGCTCTTTTTATTACTATTTCACTCTCCTTATTCAATTTACCACCCATCATCAAACCACCAACCCACGTGAGACTGCTGTGAAGCACCCTTCCCCCACCGAGAAAAGGCTTCTTTAAATGTCATCGTTCCTTACAATAAACCTCAAGGTCAGTTGCTTAATGAATTTATGTTCCAAGGAGAAATGGGAGGCTCTGGATAAGTGTACTTCTCAAGACCAATCAGATACACAGCTGCGGTCAGAACTCCTGTGCTTCTGGGCACCAGTTCCAGCTGAAAGATGGTTCCTCATCCTCATTTTAATTGCTGCCAGGACCACTTGGAATTCAAAATCCAGTGTGAAGGTTGTGGGGACGGATATCAACTTTAATAAATGGGTATATTTATTATATTTAGATGACCCATCATTGGACTTTGGTTTTTCAACTCAGCTTCACAGTAAGGTTGATATTAGGAAAGAGTCCAGGGGACTGCATGGGATTATAATAATTAGAAGCTTTTGGCCTGGAAGCTTTCAGAATCAGCATTGATGTGGAAAACTCAAAAAAGTACATTTCTTGCCACATGCAGGGCAGAATAACCTGGTTCATTAATATAGAACCTGTCCCAGTGCCAGGTAAGCATCTCTGGCCACAGTCCCAACAAATCTTAGTGACTATCCAAGGTCAAACTTTGTCAACACTTGGGTGGAACTCATCCAGAGAAAATCCCAGGCATGGCATGGCAAGAGATAAGCTGATGATTCATTGTTTGGCATTCTCCTTTTAGAGTCAATCATTAACCCCAGCATGCTATTATTGACATTCTAGCATTGTGAATCCACATGGCTTAAAAATTAGACTCATTCTAAACCACTAATCATAATCATTTCTGTCACAACCTTCAGGATCTTCTGCAGAGAACTTTTTTTCGTCTCAATTTTTCCATAAAATATAATTTCTTTTGAAAGATTAGGGGGTCTTTAAAACTGTGAAGAACCATTAGGGTGGTAGTTTTCTCATGCTGGGGAATGGTTTGCATTTTCCCACACAAACAAAGTTACATACATACCGCAGCCTCTGTGTGGCTCTGCAGAAAAAGCCACATTTCTAAGGGAATTGTAGCTGGTGAAGTAGGTGCCTTTTCACATAACCTTTTTAGCTCATCTTCAGTACATTGATTCTTTTCTTCATTATACCTTCCTTTTACTAAACATAAACTCCTGAGGAATAGGGCAGAATTGGCCAGCACAGAGGTTGTACAGAGAAGTCGTATTGAGCAACTCACTAAATAGAACCCAAAGTCTTCTTGATTCATTGTCCAAAAGATACCTTCTAGATTACCGTGTTTGTGACAATAGAAATTATCAAGCAGCTGAAGAAAGTGAGTTTCAATACAATTTTACACAGAAAAAAAAAACCCAGGAGACTAATCTAAAGGAAAGATGAAGAGGTATAACTGATAGTCTTCTACTCATATATTGGCCCCGTTAAGTGTTGTCTTTTGATGGAAGACCATGATGATTTGACAGAACTGGGAAACTGCTAAGTTGAGGTAACTTGGAAACCAAAATGGTACATTACTAAATATGAAAGCCACTCTTTTTCTCTCCACATATCTTTTTAAATAACCACTTCAAAACTGGAAGGAGTCTTAGAAATTGGAAAATCAGAGATTTATGTGATTGCTCTTTCCTCTGAGATATCACCTGAAATCATGGAGGAAATGAGGATAGCTACTCCTGAGGACTCAAAGCAGAATGAGACAGTAAAGAGATTTGGCCAGAAAGCATAGCTAGTCACTTGCTAGTTCAGCCCCATTCAATACTAAAATTGTCTCAGATTTTTCCATTATCATATCCTTCCCAGATGATGCTTGTCTAAATAAGTTCACGACCAAACATCCTTGAAATCTGCCTGCTCATCTCCTCTCTCCCTTAGTAGACCGACTAGGTGGAGACTACCTTGGAAAAACATTTCTAATGGTTATTAAAACCTAATCTATAATCTCAGCGTCAGATTGTAGCAACTGTTATCCATGCTTAGACCCAATTTTTAAAAATTTGTTAAAAAATAAAAATAAAATATTTTCCTGATTCACATCCCTTTCTACTCAACACTTGCTAGAAATAAGATTAAATAAGGGAGCCCGGAGTGGTGGCGCATGCTTGCAATCCCAGCACTCAAGAGGCTAAGACAGGAAGATTACTGGGAATTTCAGGCCAGCCTTGAACATAAGATGAGTTCAATAACAGCCTAAACTACATAGTGAGATCCTGTCTCAAAAACAAAACAAAAAGAAGAAGATTACTGGTTTTTCTGCCTTAACTGGAGTCGTTTTCTATAAGTGTTTAAATAACATTCATCTTTCTCCATATGTTGTACATGGTCCTCTATTTTCTAATTCTCTTGGGTATCTATGAGTTTATTTTATTTCTTCTATATAATGTTATTTCCTTGTGCTAACTGTCCGCTTTTTTTATTTGACTTACCAAGGGTTATCCTTTTATTCATTCATTTCATAAATATTTTGAAGGCTATTTTACTCAAAGTGATCAATTCTATATTCTTATCTATTTTGTAATTTAATTTCTGCCTTTATCTTTCTTAATTTTGTTTGCTTCTTTTTTTGACTTTATTTTTTATCAATGTATCTCATTTTATATGTTACTTTGTGAATCTTTTTACCTCTTAAGTTATGATATTTAGTCCATATATTTCTTATTTTCAAAACAATAATGACATTTAATGTTATAAATTTGTCTCTAAATCCAGCTCCACATTCTACGGTTTTTGTTTTTATTTTTATTTTTGTTTTTTGAGACAGGGACTCACTGTGTGTTTCTGGCTGGCCTCAAACTCACAGTACTGCACCACCACACCTGGCTTATGCTATATATTTAGATATGTGATTGACACATTGGTCCCTTGTCCTATACAGTGTGGGCCACTACAGTTTCATAATTTCTCAGATGGGAACCAAAACATCCCAATTTATTACTAGTAGATAGGGATGCATCTCTGGCCCACCAAACCAGTCACATCTTTCTCTCCTTGTAGATCATATTTGGAAAACAATTATTCCAGTTAGTGTTTGTTGGACTCAGACTGGGATTTAAGAAAACCAAGAGCAGCCAGGTCAACCCACTGTAAACTAAAATTAAAAAAAAAATAGGCTATAGATAAGCCTACCTACAAAAAAGAGGAGAAACCATGAGATTATGCAGAGTGAGACAGAAAGATAGAAAAGGTAGTCACTTTGATCCTTTTAAGATTTTTCTTTTCCTTCTGCAGTTTGACTTCTAATCCCTAGTTTCCATTTTTATTTACACTAGCCAGAGTTAGCTTGGTATTTTGCTACAATTACTCCTGATAGAGAAGATTTTTGTTTAATTTTAAAATTTTACTCCAGAATTCTGACATTTGAAACATACTGAGTTTTTTGTTTTGTTTTGTTTTGTTTTGTTTTTTGGTACCGGGATTAGTATGTGTGGTTCCTATGTTAATCTGTAGTTGGTTTTGGAAGTTGTATCACAATTTATCTGTAGCAGCAACTGGAATTTTCGGTGTTATTCCTGAATTACTCTACTTCTTTCAATAACTCCTGTGTTTCTTCTACAGATAGAAAGTAAGCTGTTCAAATGGAAAATGCATGTGTTCTTTTGCTACTGCACTGTGCAAAACTGACACGAACCTAAACAACACAAAGTTATTATACTACATTTTTGGAGGTCAGAAATCCGAAGTGAGCTCCAATCAACACGTTGGCAAGGCTTTGATTCTTCCAGAAGTGCTGGGAGAGAACTGAATTCTTTGCTTGGGCTTCCCTTCCCTGACCCTTCCACCTCTCTTACCATGACTCCGTGATTGCATTGCTCCCGCGCAGTACTATTCCTAACTTCGTCGTACCTGCACAGCTCCTTTCACTATCTAAAGTAACAACAGCATAGGTTTTGGGATTGTGATGCGGGCGAACATCTTGGGACAGCCATTGTCCAGCTTGCCACGGTCCATAAATTAGGGACTATTTGTTCACATGTCAATTCTATAACTGACAAGAAGTCACTTAAATTCTCTATGCCTCTGATTCCATATCTATAAAGAAATGGACTTACACTGTGTCTTCTTAAAATAAAAAATCTCTTCCGAGGCCAAAATTCCGTTTCTAGGTTACCATGAATGATATAAAATAACCTCAAATGTCAGTATGATTTTGGAAGTGCCTATTTTTTCTGCAGACTATTTTACTAATTTTAATTACTAGGTCTCTTAGTTTCACACAAGCATTTAAGTGTTCCTTCTCTTTGACAACAGTATTCTGCTTTCCACTGTGTATAATTATTTTGTCCTTTCTTAATGACATTGTTCTTCATTCTTATTCAATACTTCCTTTTATTTTCAATGCTTCTCCTTACTCCCACTCATACCACTCAACTTCCTAGCTCTCTTGCAAAAAAATTATAAAACCAAATACTATTTTGTAGCTCTTAAGGAAGCTTTCTTTAAATGTGTACACCAAGATTCTTTCCATTCATTTTACCAAAAAATACAGAAGTGAAACATTAAGACTTTCATATTAAAAGCTACCATTATCTATCCATATCTCAGTCACTTCCATTTGACAAAATAATAAAGTTCTACCTAGTCAATGATTTAGGCCTTATCATAAAAGGCTATTTTCATTTAAAATACCACTGGGGAAGACATTACAATTTGAAACCACATTTTTCCTTTTCTGGGAGTTCTTGTTCATCTGAAATCAGATGAGGTCCTCTGGCATCTCAGTAATAGCTAAATTTCGCTGGAGAGGAATCCTTGCTCCAGTATAATAAAAATGAAGGCAATTAGCCCATACAAGTCTAAGCTTTGTAAAGTCAGTTAGGTAGCAGAACATCCAGGGTCCAAGGAACTGGAGATGTCCAGTGTGACCTCTGCAGTGATGGAACACCGGGGGCGGAGGGCTGCTGGGTTTCCAGGTGCTAAGCAGCAGGCAGATCATCGCAAGGTCAGGTGTGGGGTAGGCACTGTCCCTGTGTGTCACGTGTGATGACAAGTGCAGAGGTGGGCAGGCCACCCAGGTGCTGACAGCAGGGGGGCACAAGGAAGTTGCTGAGCTGTTCACTACTAGAATAATTACACCTGTGTGAGGAGCAAAGGAAACAGGGATGACTCTTTAGTTCTCTGCTCACATTAACCTAAAGAGATTATTAATACACAATATTTCCTGCTTTAGGGGTTTGATTCAGAAAGTGAAACGGCAACAGGAAAGCAAAGACTGACTTTCAGAAAGAGCCCTTCTTCCCAGTAACTAAAATCCTTCCTGCAGAGATACTCCTTGTAACTCCAAACCTTAAACAACACGGCATCTGAAGAAACCAGAAGTACTTAAAAGAATTGTCAGAAATTAAATAAAGAATATTGGCAGGGGTATGGGAAAAAATGAGAACCAAGATCTGTCATGTAAAGGTACAAAATCCCAATGATGAAAGTAACTGTACTGTACACTTAAAAAGTACCAATAAACTCAATGAGAAAAAGAACAAGAAAGAAAAAGGAAGAAAGAAAGAAAGAAAGAAAGAAAGGAAGGAAGGAAGGAAGGAAGGAAGGAAGGAAGGAAGGAAGGAAGGAAGGAAGGAAGGAAGGAAGGAAGGAAGGAAGGAAGGAAGGAAGGAAGAAAGGTTATCAAAGACAAGCTCATAGAGGAAAGTGGATAGGCTTATTTTAAGTGTATATCTTTTAAAATTCAGTTTACTATTTCAGCTCCGTTACTAGTACATACCATTCCCATCAACATAAGTTGATGCATTGTTTCAAAACCAGCAACAGCAAATATGGGCAAGTTTCTTTGGCTTTCTGCAAGACCTGTTTTCTATACTCCCATTTCCCTAACTCTGAATTTGGCCTGAAAATACATTCCAATTAATGTCTTACACGATGCAGCTTATGATGTGGTTATAGACTCCTTGGGGACCAAAACTAAACCATCAAATCCATTTTCTAAGTCTAGGGTGAAAGGTTAATGGATTTACTAAGATGCTAAACAAATTACAAAGTAATATCCCTTGGAGGAAGACACGAGGAAACATATCAAATGCTTATCTTGCCAGATTTTTTCTCTATTCTATAAATGTTCTAAACAACATCAAAACAACTGCAGAAAAGCTGTCAAGGCTAAATAATTACATATAATTGGTCCTCCATTACTACTTTCTGATGTGAATCTCCTAGAAAATTCGAGTGTTTTACCTTGTTTGTTGGAAGATGTAAAATAGTAGGTCAACAGGAAATGTTATTTGCATTTAGCAGATGGCAGGGATGAGGTTTAAGAAAAACTGATATATTCAGCTTCTCACATCAAGGTCAGGAAGGAGAATAGTATTCAGAACCTGGGGATCCAACCACAGTACTCATTATCAAGACTATCCTTTCCTTTGAAGAATTAAAAGTTTTATTCCCTTCAGAAAATCCAAGCTCAGTTGTAGATGATGTGATAGGCTGCATCATTTAAAAGTCTTTATTCTTTCTCCCTCCGTTCACAGGGGAAGTCCTCTATCCTGCTATTTTGGGTTTTCCCATGCAACTTGTTCGGATCATTGCCCTGTTGATAGATACTTAATTCAGGAACATCTCCATATTTCTTGTTTCTTCTCAATGATTTTGCTAATCTACCTGTCTTCTGTGCTCTCTCCCTCCCAAGGGTACTAATTCTTTACTCATACCTCTCAAACTCTAAAGAAATGTTTCACCTGCGTTGAAGTCAAGTTACAATGCAATAATAAATGTCAAAGCAACATTTAAAAATAGACACTTAAATCACAGGAACTGGTGAAGACAGCATCAATTATGCTAACTTTTTGGCATCGACATTGTTTACTGAAATAGTATACAAAATAATATACAAAGTGAGATCATAAAATGTTAATATTTAAATCTTGAAGTTAATTACAGTAAAATACTTTCCCCCTCTTACTTTGAGTATACTTTCTCTATCATTCTTGTCACTTTCTGAAGCAGTCCCTAAAGTTCTCTTTCTTGAGTGTCTTTAGTTGCAGTCATGGATGCCATAATGCCGGAATCAATTCAAAACATTTACTTTTCATGGTTGCTTCTATTTGGAGAAAAACCAGATCTTACATGATGCCAGATCCAGTGAATAATGTAGATAAGGACATGTTTGTAATATTTTTCTTTTAAAAAAATTTTTATTAGCACATGATTGCAGTACACAATATTTACCTGCATCATGAGCAGTTGGCACATGTACATACACATCTTAATTCTTTTTACTTCCACTTTTCTTCCCTCTCTCTGCCCTCTCTCCATATCTAGATCCCTTTTCCATTTGCAAAAGATTTATCACATTGTTTCCTATCTATCTTTTATTCTGCTCTTTAAATTTGAGCTTTTCATAAAGCAGAAAGCGTGTAATATTTAAACTGGTATGTCTAATTTATTTCACTTAACATTAGGGTCTCAAGGTGTATCCATTTTCCTACAGATGACTCCAGCTTATCTTTTTTATGCCTGAGTAGTATTCCATTGAGCATAAATATCTCATTTGCTTTATGCATTCCTCTGTTGATCAACATATAGGCTATTTTTAAGATTTGGCTATTATGAATTGTGCTGCTCTAAACATGGGTAGGCATGTATCACTGTAACATATCTTTCATGCTTCGAACAAGATACCTAGAAGGAGAATGACTGCGTTAAATGGAATTTGTATTTTTACTTTTTAGAGAAGTCTCCATACTGATTCTCACAGTGAGTGTGCTAGATTACATTCCCACCAACAGTGTAGAAGTGTTCCTTTTTCCTTATAGCCTCACCGACATTTTATGTTATTTGATTTTTTGATGATAACCTTTCTTTCTGGAGTATGATGGACTCTCAGTATTGTTTTAATTTGCATTTTTCTAATGGCCAAAAAGGTTGAACATTTTTTCATGTACACATTTATTGGACATTTGTATTTCTGAGAAGTGTGTATTTATTTCAATGGCCCCATTCTTGATTGAATCTTTCATTTGGGGGAGGATCTAGTGTTTTGGGGTTCTTTATATGTTCTAGATATTAGTCCTCTGTCTTACAATGTTTTTATTTACAGAAATTGTTGCAAACACTTGATCAATGGGGGATGATCATACACTACATTGTATTTTACGTTTTTTTTAATTATTACATAAAGACATATCACCACTAATCTCTCTCAAAATACTTCTCCTTGCTTTGAATACACCTATCCTGTCATGCTTGGCAATGTGTCTTTTACTGCAATAATATTTTTAAATTAAGCATTCACTGTATCTTTTGACCACCTCATGTGTGCTGAAACCAGTCTGGACTTGCACATAATTTTATTAGATAGATCTGGGTATAATATGAATGTTCATTAAGGAGATATTTTACCTGCATCTCATTATTTTCAGTTGCTATGAGTCAAGACTAAAAGATTTCTCTATTGTTTTGAAGAACATTGCACTCCTAAGCAGCTACAACCCAGTCTTATTTTAATTAGACAGTACAAGATTTCTTGCATGCAAACACCATAATCATATTTTGTTTTCAACAAAGAACCATCTGTTATCTAAAGGATGCGCTCCCAGGCATGTAGTATTTCATTTCAATATTATGATGCTGATGTATTTTCCTTGCTATGTGAACCATAGTCATGACAAGTGTAAAGTCTACACATCATGTTGTCTTCTTTTCTAACATTAGCTTTGAGTCAAAGAGTCAATATTTTATGTCTAGAGTGACACAGAAAAACATGGTAGTAATTAAAATAGTTCACAGAGCCAGGAACATGGGCAGCTAGATGGTGAGCGCCTCTTTACTAACAACATTCAGCTGAGGCTACAAAGTCAAGGGTATTTGGCTGGTATGGGTGGTTGGTCAATTTGATCTCCATTCTCTCCAAGTCTAATATTTTATTACTCTTACTGTTCAGACTCTATCAATCAATTTACCTTTAACTAGCTTTGGAAAGTGCTTGCAGAAGTAATCCTAGCATTTATACCATACATAATTCCATTTTATCCTCCACAAAGTCTTATCAAATGGGTGTCATCTCAATTTTATAGATAGAAAAAATGAGGCTTAGAATGATAAAAGACCCCCTTCCAGCTCTTGTTAAAGCAGAGATGTAAGTTACTATGCAGCAAGTGAAGGGATAAATGGACAGTCAGAGCACATGATGAGTTTTTAGCCATATATTTTTGCCACACACAAAAAAGTTATCTTACAACTCTGTGCCTTAAATCACATTTGACAAAGTTCTATGATAAAAATCTGAGGAGACAATAAAGAGAACCATATTAATAAGAATGTCCTGCTCCAAATGAAGCTTTGTTCTCTATTTCTTATGTAATTGTATTGCTTCAAAAATATAATTAAATTTTCTATATGCACACACACAAAAAATAAAACTCAGGTAAAAGAGAAAAATAAAGCCATATCATTTAAATTCGTTTATCTCTTTAAAAATAGCTCATATTAATTTAGTGAAATTGTGTGTGTGCATGCACACACATGCATAGCTCGTAAAACGTAAGTTTTAAATTCTAGGGATTATATTCATGCCATTCTTTTCTACATCTTTAGAAAAAGTTGTAGAGAAGCACAATTGAAAACAAATCAAGAATCTTGTTTATGGTACAATTGATTTTCTGACGTAAGTCAGAAAAATAAAATAATATGACTGATATAGGCAAGAGCAAGAAATAAAATGCTAAAAGAGTGCACCAAAATGCATAAAATAATGAAATTTCATGATCAAGAGGAATCCCATAAATCACTATTATGTACTTTTGTTTTAGTTTATTACACAAAATGCATGCAGCTATGGATCAGAGAACTTTTCTTCTATTAAATAAATCTACAATTGGCTAAATTGACAGAATTCTGCTCTCTCATAAAAAAGTAATCCTATCTAAATCATGTGATTTAGTTTGCCTATTTTGATGCTTTCTTAGCTCATGTTTCTTATTTGCAACTGGCTTGACGTATAAGAGTATTTTCCTATGACAAAATAAAGCAAAACAATCCCCTCTGAGTAATTTATTGTATTTATATCCTGTCATGTTCCAGAAAATATTTGAGAGAACTTAGTAAATGATGAACAAGTCTAAAGAAATAAA